CGAAGATCGCTGATGCTGGTACAGCAGAATTTGCAGGTTGCGTACAATTGAAGGCAAACGGCTTATATACGATTTGGCTGTGGCTATATTTGGCTATGCACACTCCCTGTACTGTACTGATTGGTTGGGACGGCAGACGGGCAGTCACCGCTATCGCCTAATATGGCGATGTGCAAGGGAAGGGCTACGTATGTGTGTGCCTGGTTTTGGTTTCTAAGGCTGACTAACGCCCGCACTTCGAATTGCCCAAATTTGCCCATGCTATGGTTTGGCACTGGCTACTTCTCCTCCTATAGGCAATCCCAAGTCCAAGCCACGGGCTCCTTATATTTTTCGTGTTTATGCCATCAGCCACGGTTGTGACCTGCATGACATGTTGCTTGGTTTTTTTTAAAGAAATGAAGCGATAGAAACTAACGCTGACCTCCGTATTCACGATCCACGCATGTTAGCTGTGATTAAGAATGGTGGTCTCGGTGATCTGCGGTCCGTCATGATTTAATGCGCATAAGAGTTCATGTTTGGGTTAACCAGTAATGTGCGAAAGGGAGACTGCAGATTCATAACGCTCTGTATTACATGGATTTAGTGGATTGAGGCCATGGAAATGAAATTTGTAAGCAAGTCGTTTATAGTACACCTATACGTGGGAACGGCCTACCGGTCGGACGGCATGACAGAAAAACCTTTGCTCTACATTCCTTCTGTAGTTCGGATACCCTCCCTTTGAACACCCACCATTTCGAGCTATTGCTGCATCGTAGATGACTATTAGTTTTTTATTGGGTATTAACGTGTTTGTGAAGCCAAGAGTTTAGTTTAAGATGGAAATATGTGGACAAGCTAAAAGGCAAGCTAATATACTAACACAAAGATTGCTTCACTTATTGCAGCAACGTGGAAGATGGGGCCACAGAATCCAGCTCTGTGGGATTGGAATTTCCTAAACGGCATCCCATTTCGAGGAGGTCATTTTTTGAAAGCATGACATAGACTTTGTTACCCGACGAAGACAGGTGCATTCTAATGAGAGAATCGTGTAGATAGTATAGCGTTCGCCAAAATGTTGTTTTATGTGTCAATGAAGTTTCCGGTTGAATTAAGGTGGCCGAAATCGATTATTCCTTTAAGATTTGCTGAACTGTCAAAAGGTTAACACTTCTCCCTAGAATGGTTAATAATTTGGCCTATAATAGATTTTAAAAAGCATTAAGGAAAGTTTATTAGTTGCGTTTTATTCTCTGAGGAACCGATGAAGAACATCGGAACTTGCAAAGTGCGTCCTACAAAAACACCTCCTGAGTATTTTAATGCCTCAGGTTATCGATTCTGCGGTATTGCAGAGGGGCTTTTGTCACTTTAACTAATTCAGCATGTTATATACTAAGTAGGCGAACAATCATTTGCATCACAAAGCGCAAAGTCAGAGCGGTTGACGTACTAGGTGATGTTTTTGTTGTTGGTGAGTGAATGTGGACACGTGCTACACTCCCGTTTGAGGTCGTGCATCAGTAGAGGCATTCTCTCCAACCAAAGTGGGTTTGACAACCCTCAAACATATCCAGCTGCACATTTGCCCATTGAATAGAAAATAAGGTAACATCAAATATCCACGAATAGGTCCTGTTCTGGACCATTTCTAAGTTATTTTTGAATGAGAATCTGTGATAGATTGCTAAGAGAAAGTCAATTTATTTCAATAAAGTTG